GCAGCAGTTCACTCTGCTCAGTGTTGTTACACTGCTTTGTCTAATCTCTAATAGCCATCTGATACTCCAGATTCAATCTGACAGACTGAATCATAGCCTGAAATTACAATGCTGCTGCTGATAAGAGATGCTTCAGACTGTGCAAAGATAAGACACAGACGAACATTTACAGTGGTTTAGATGCACAAATTCACAAAAACCCTCTAAATCAAGTATATAAAATCAGGTTCCAACTTGGCTCAACTTGCACCCACGTATCACTGACGCTGGGAGCCTTGGCTTCACTGTATCTTGATACATTCAGCCCTCAGTCTGCACTGTTAAAGGCCAGGTGTACACAGCCCCGGCACAAAGAAAGGCCTCTCTGTGTCTCTCCCTTTCTCCTTTTCGCTTTCAAGCCCTACCTAACTCGTACACACAGGACAACAGAACAGAGCGCACATACATACTGTAAGTGCAAACATGTTGGTCACATGGCAAACACGCACCTGTATGAGCAGGTAAAACATCTTTTACATCTTCACTGCACTTGTTACCACTGAAAAATTGCTAGTTTGTGATGTCTGTGGGTGTGAGGTGTGAGGTGTGAGCGTAGGTGTTTTTATCACTCGTCTGTCTGACTGATTTTCAATTTGTGTGTTTGTACTAAAAGTCTTGATGGTTCAGAATGCTGCAGCTTGCCTTCCCTGACTTCATATCCATGTCAGATCAGACTTCAAGGTGCTTTCGTTGGCTTACAAAATTGTAAATGGGCATGCCCCTTCATGTCTGTCTGATCTCCTACGGTCTTGAAATCAAAACTTAAAACTCACCCTAAATTCACCTTAATTTTTAATTATTATTATTTATGCTAATTCTTTAATTAGGTCAGGCAAGTAACCATTATCCATCCAGCAAGCCAGTCTCACTCTTAATTATGCTATTAAAGGGATAGTTTGCTCATTTTTGACCAGTTGTGTACCATAACAATGTGTGTTTAAATGAACTATGGTAAACTTCCCTCCATCTTGTCAGCACCTAGATCTCCTTGCTCATCTCCCTGCACAACACTAAACATGTCATCCAGCAGATTTTCGCTGGCTATACAGCTATTGCTCGAACCACAGATTGTGCTTCCTCAGTTTTGCTGCCACCATGGACACAAAGAGTATAGAAGTGAAACAACAAACTCAGTTCAAACTGTAAAACTAAGTAGTGCTTATCAAATATAAACCAAGATTCTGTTACTGTATTGCTTATTTTTCTCCTAACATATATATTTAGTGCATTGTTTGGCTGTAATCTGAGAATCTGTGACTCTTTTACTGTAAAACTAAGCAGTGCTGATCAAATATAAACCAAGATTGTGTTGAATGTGTTTACAGAAACATATTTTAGTGCACTGTTTGGCTGTAATACAAGACTTTGAGATCAAACGGTTAAACTCAGCAATTCTAAACAAATATGAATCAAGATTATGTTACTGTGTTGCCTATTTCTCGCCTTAAATGTTTCCAGGAACATATTTTAGTGTACTGTTTGGCTGTAGTACAAGAACAAAATGAACAGGAAGTGGACACTATACTGTTTCCTGTATTGTATATGTTGTCGGAACATATTCTAGCTTACTGTTTAACCGTAATATGAGATTGTTTTTACCAGCCAGCCACCATATTGGTTTTTGTGTCAAAACGGATGAGCTTGCATTATGTCACCCACCAACAGGAGCATTTGTTGGTCTGGTGCAGTGCAGTGCATTCCGGTAGTTGTAAGTTTTCTACCTCTTGAGCTAAAGCAAATGCCACAGTTCTTTTTCTCAGTTTTCTCTGGTCATGTAGCACCAATTTAAAGTATGTTTGTCTTTTTAGTGCATAGACAGACAAGTTTGATTTAAAAAAACAACAAAAAAAACATCTTTCCAGCAATGAAATGTCTCTCTAAGCCTCATCTTTTCATCTTCAGATTGTGGTGCCAATCAGAATCCTGTGAACTCTCTAAAAACCTCTGCATCTCTCTGACCCTCTGTTTGTTTGTGTCCCAAAAGCACACGAGCATCCGAGCTCTGCACCTATCTCTCTCTCTCTCCCTCTCTCCATTCTGTCTCCTCCTAGTTTCTTCTTCTTGTGCTCTCTTTTCACTCAGGCTTCTCTGTGCTAGACCATCGGCCGTCCTCTCTCTCTCTCTGTTTCTCCTGGCAGTCGATGCCTCATTCCACATGTTTGGATCTGAGTCCTCGTCCTCCAGGAGACTCAGCCTCTCCTCTCGCCTCTCTCTCCATTTGTGTGCTTGTTTTCTTCCTCCTACCTGTGTGAATGGTGTGCTTGAGCTTTGCCTCTTGTGAGTTTGTATAGCCTGTCCTCTTTCCAGGTCTTCACGGCAGAGAGGAGGTCTGTTTGGCAAAATCTGAAGATGCTCAGTATCCTCCTGGATATGTTTATTCTTCATATCGTCACAGTCTTTCTATACTTTTGGCATCCTGACTCACACATTATTTTTTTTTTTACTATGCTGGTCAGTTCTGTACAAACAGCATCTACTGCTTGTCTGTCCATCCTGGAAGAGGGATGCCTCCTCAGTTGCTTCATCTGAAGTTTCTCTATCAAAGTTTTTTGATAGAGTTCTTCTTTTTAGGATAGAGGGTGTCATATGCTTTTCAGATAGTAAAGCCCCTTGAGGCTGATTTGTGATTTGTGATATTGAGCTATATGAATAAAACTAATTTCACTAAACAGTTACAGAAGCAGTAACTGGGTGTTCCTCAACATATGCGCTGACATTTGCAAGCAACCAAGTATGGCAGCCACAAACATATGAAGAATGAGTCTGTCTGCAGCTACAAAGGATGTCCTGTTTCCTGCATTTTGTAATCTAAACGATTAAAAGGATGAAAAAGGTCCATGAAATGCGTTGGGTCGGAGCTGCATATTAAGTGGTGAGAGGGCTGGCTGACATGGACCGGCTGGGAGATGGTCGACACTTTGCTTGTCCAATTACTGGCTCTCGCTCAAATTGTTTGGTGAGAAGCATTCGACCTACTTCTGGACACAAAGCACCACTGCCCTGAATACAGAGAGGCTGGGGACCACGTGTGATGACAAGTGCCATTAGAGGCTCTTGTCTTTGGCCTAGAAATGAAAATCAGCCAACTTACCTGACGTGGGATAATTCTGGCTATGACCACTGGACAACGTATGTGCCTATGGATTGGCCTGATGGGATGAACGGGGGGGACAACACAAATAGGATCTCCTCTTGTTGAAGAGCAGCTTGACATGATTACATTCGCTAATGGCTGTCTGACCTTCAGAAGGTCTTTGTGTTTAACATGAAGCAGCAGCAGGATCAGTATTAGGAGTAGCAGCGCTGCTAGTTCTACTCATATTAGGAGTAGGGGGTGTTTACTGCTATCGTCACTTTTTGAAGCAAACACAAACAATATAGGCCAAGCTGATTTTGTTGCGAACAACAGAAGAAAAGCATCAAAAGGAATACAAATATTAAATTATGGGTAAACTATGAAACATTTCTCTGTTTCCTGGGATTCCCTCAAAGGCATAATCTATAATGAGACACTACACAACAACAGTGAGGAAACCAGCGTGTGAATTTGCAGCACTTCCATGCAGTGTGTGAAGAATTTGCATACCTTGTAAATATTCATACTGAGGGAATCACTATGTTAACCACGTGAGATATATCTGGGCTTTAAATGCAACACGTCAAGCTCCCAAGCCTGATGCACAACTGTTCCATCCACATCCCCATCAATTACCAAAGCTATAGGTAACCAACCACAACACCAAGCCTCTGATTTAAATGTCATTATAATGCGGTTTTAATCACACCCATTGACGCCTCATCAGTCATTCTAATCTTGTCATGCATGCTCAACACTTGTGCAACAGAAGTGCACGTAATAAAGAGCAATTTCCTTAAGTGTGGAGCAGGATTACAGAAAGAGGAAGTAGATTGCGAGAACAACTTTCTCTTAAATGCATTGTTTGTGCTCTGTCAGAGGTGTCAGCTGTGTCGGAACAAATTATAAGAAATTCTTTTCCCTATTCTCTAGAGTAACACAGACTTTCAATGCCGTTTCTACTACCACATGACACCACTTACCTTTTCACAGTACAAGAATAAATCTGCTGAAACGGCACATGTAGTTTCTCTACATTAAAAACCTGCCCTCCAAATATGACTGTATCAGCTATGAGCGGGCTTCTACACAGATGTCTGCTCATGCATTTCTCCTGCTAAACAGAACTATCCCAGAGCCTGTCTCATCACATGCAGAAAAGGGGGGAATTTATGCACTTATTGCCAATACAGACTGAGATAATGCTATTCACCACACTGGATGACAAGGTATGATTCACTCCTGCGGTTCAGTATTCAGCATGAGAGCCAGTGATAAGCAGGCTGAGATCATTACTGTGTAATGGGCAGTGCAGTGGTAAATAAGAGGGATGGCAGAGAGTGATCTCCAGTCACTGATTCTTATCAGGCATCACAGGCAGTCACATAAAAAAGGGGGGAAAATGAACAATGTTCTCAGAATGACATCATTTGACACTTATCAACACAGATAGCACTGCATCAGATGGAAGGTGTGAAAGCTTCATGCTATTTATGTTAAAAAGTGGGATAATTCTGCCTCTGCAAGGTGGGTAAACCTGTTAAAGCTAGGTTAGCACTCCACTGTTCATCTCCAGCATCACTGCTTATGAATAAACTTGTTAATATTCAGCTCATGAAAACTGAAGATATTACAAAAGCAGTCGTGACTACAGTTCCCTCTTCTCTCTCTTGTCCCCCCCTTTTTAATTCCAAATTTCACCCACCTGCCATTACACAGTCTGCACAGGTGCCGGCTCAAATCATGGCACCATCTGAGAGCTCCGTGTTCAAAGCTAGCTGAAATTTTTAACAAGTGCCACAACTAACAACACTAAACAGGAAGGAAATGTGGGAAAATACTCCTTTTTCTCAGACAGGGAAACACAGAAATTGCGAAAACTCACCTTCAGGTGCAACTCATGTCGTGACAGCCGCTGAGAAAGTTGAATTTGTCCCCACCGCTGGAAGAGGAGAGCAGAAGCAGGTTTAACTGTTAACGTAACGCCGCGGTGCCTCGCAGTTGGTCTGAGCCGGAGCACCTCCCTCCTCCCCTGGATGCTTCTATCGCTCCCCCCCGACCCGCCTCTGGAAAGAAAAAGTAATAGCGGTTTCTTCCTCCTCCTCCACAAAGACAGACTCGAAGAAAAGAAGGGACCCTATCGCAGTCAATAGGTTTTACAAAACCCCATGGCAACGCGGAAAAACCGTGAGCAACTTCCCTACGTTGTGACCGGGGTAAAGCGCTCCCCAGCCCCCCAAACAGTGACAGCGACATTATTCCCAAGCTTCAGAATGAGCAGGTTTTAGTGGGAGGAGGAGAGAGGAGCACTAAACTGCTCTGTGCTTAAATATACATGAGACCAAATAACACTTAAAGTCAGTGTTGGTTCAGCATAGACTCTGGTGTAGTGCCCAATATCTCTAATGGGATGTTTAGCCTACTTATTTATTCATTCATTCACCAGTTTTGGTTTAAGTATCAATTTTAATTTCTGCCCATTCTATTAAATATTTAGATTTTAATGAAATTTATTTATTTATTTCACCCGTGAAAGTTTACCAAATCACTATCCTGGCTTATTACAGTCCATGGACTGCATGTTTTTCATTGGCCCCACCCGTTCTCACCCAGCTATGCCATGTAGCACCCCACCATCTGCTTATTTTTCCACTAAAAAAGGAAAAAGAAAAGTGTTTTTTTTATTATACGGATAATTTAACTTAATAGACTATTACTTAATTGTGGATTTTGCCACCTAATTTGGGTGTGACTCTCAGTGAAACAAGACCTAATCCTACAGATGATCTTGCAAGTGAGAAAAAATTTACTCTTGGTATTGAGGAATGTCCCCCCTGATCACCTTTAGTCTATGTGCCATGCATAGAGGTGTAGATTTTGGGGGAGACGCAGGGGACATGACCCCCTCAACATTTAGAATGTGCATTTGTCACCCCCAGTAGACACATGAAAGTGACAAAGGACTTTTATTTTGACATAATTTAAGACATTTCCACCATTAATTGTTGCATAAAAATACCAAAGTGCAGGTCAATAAATGTCTGATGTGTGAACTGCTTCATACATCACCGTCCCCCCAACAAAGTTGCAAACCTACACCCTACAACCAGGCACATCTGGAAAAGCGGGCCTTAAAAAAATATAGCCTGTCTTGTTTACTGTTACCTAAGGTGAGCTAAATGTTTGACCTTAGATCTGAGTTTAGGTGGCTGTGTGGATTTTGTCACATCACAAATCATCTGAAGGCTGAAAGCAGACAAACTTGTCACAGTGTAGGGAAAAAAGTGTTACTAATATCATTAACGACAGCTCTGTTCTTTTAAGTTATTAATTACACCTGCGACATGTCAAAATGTCTGCCATTAAAAAGACATATTGTGGTCAACTATGCAACTCACACATGTGATGCTGAAACCTGAAACCTCCTGTGCGCATACACCAAGAATGGGCTCTTTATAGGAGACATCTTGTGACCAGAAGTTTAACTTTTTCAATAAAAAAAGTTTTCAGATTCATATGTTATTAATTTTTCAACGAGGGCGGAGGAGCAGATGCTCTTTTATGAATTTTTAACTCTGCAACTGAGTCACAATCGAAGCTGTTCAAATAAGATATGAATATACTTTACTGCTGAAAGTCAACTTGGCAAAAAACACACCAACACTAACAGTGTTTAATTTAAGCAAAGTCAAATCTAAAGAATAGATTTCACTGGGAATAATGTTTGGATTAAAACAACACAAGTACAACAACAACAAAAAACGTTGAAATTAGAATAAATTATTGTAAAATAAACAATAATAAATTATTGTAATGCAGCCTACTAACCCTTTAAAAGAAATCATTAATATAACAAATTATAGAGAGCTAATGAACATAAAGCAAAGTGATATGTCATTGTCTTTCCATACTGCAGTTTCCTGTTACTTATTGGTCACCATATCTTTATACAGTATTTGTAAAAGGCTGAAATTAGCTAATATTATCATGCTGATGTATCAGTATAGGAAAATAGATACATAAGTATAAAAAAATCTTGACCACAATGTTTAATCAACATGCTGAGGTTTCTGTAAGACTTCACAAAGGTAGTATTTATCTCCTGGCTGCTGTATTGGATTGCATTACAATAACAGGTGTTCACATTGTTGTTTGGAGCTGCTGTATATCAACATTCTTCACTCCTGTCATCACAGTGCCAACCCTTGTATTGTAGACTAATAGTCTCTGTAGGGATGTGTGATTTCTGCAGCTCTGACAGCACAAGATCATTAAGAACTCTTTGCATCAGAGGAGCGGGCAGTAAAGGTCAGCTAGAAATCAATTTATCCAATAACCTCAGACCCTGAGACAGAAAAAGGCGAGGCCATGCAACCTGGAAATGACGAGGTGGGAATGGCCTCTCACCACTGCCAGTCAGGCTCAGAGGCTCACTTACTGTCATATATGACTCATCGGGTCATTTCTTGAAATGTATATATTGTATTTAATGATAAAATGCAAGAATTGTGATTTTTTTTTTCTTCTTTAGATATAATGGTTAGCTTCAACCTCTCTCAGCTTACCTCCACCTTCACCCCTCATATCAGTGACTGAATGTCAGTGTCAGGAGACAGCTGTCGCCCGTGCAGTGGTCTGTGATGACTTTCAGTGTGGACCTGAACCTGCTAATTTTAGCACAGTAAGGGTTTCTGTACCACTGCTTATTATAATCTTATTATTTTTGTTATAATCCACGTGGAGCCATAGCCAGGGTTTTAGAAATACTGAGGTCATGAGTCCCTCCCAGTGTCCTCCAGGGCTCCCACTGGCACAAAAATTAAAGTCTGAAATCTTTTTTTTAATTTTGTGGATATTTTTATTCGTTCAGTTAATTGTTTAATCATATTTTCTGTGAATTTATTATTCCTTGCAAATATCTTCCAAAACAAGAGACTCTTCCAGCATGGCTAGCTGGTTCACATGTGGAGGACACCCGAACAAGGAGGGGATCAAAACAGGGCTAAAGGTAACAGAGTCATGAATGCAGAGTTCTGAGCCAGGTCGTGTTTCTCTTCTGTCCACAGTGGATTCATCTTCATCCAGCTGGCACCACAGAGGAAAGACTAAGACCTCTCTGTTACACAAAGAAGGGAAGTGAACAGATTGACTTGAATCCAAATAACCTGATTTAGGGTATCATAATCACACTGAATGGATTACACAATGGCTTGACTGAGCAATAAATGTAACAAGATATCTTTGTGAGGTGCTCCATGTTACACTGAGTGCTCTTATCAAAACAAATTTAATTTGGTGGAACATCTGCTTCCTGTTTTTTTCAGCAGGAACTGCCTCATCTATAAGTGGTAAATGCAATGCAGTAGCTTAAGGCTCAGTTCTCAGCTGACCCTGTAGAGGATTGGGTAAAAAAAATATAATTATATGTAAGCTGATTCACTATGTTTGTATTTTACAGATGGTGCCATGGTAAGAATTCCTTAAGGGCCTTGAAAACCCATTTTGGGTTTATTATAACGGGGTTACACATAAACACACAATTTAGTCATTTTTGGTATTTCACACCATTTCTGTATTTTTTTTTTCTTTTATCTTTGCGCTCACAGGTTTTCAGTGGGTGGGTACAGTAGGAATAAAGTGATGTCACATACTTCCTTGCACCAATTAGAATTTAGCTATTTTGAATTAGAATCTGATGACAGCTGTTTGTGTGTTTCTTGGCCCCTCTCAGTCAGATCTTATCAAACCACACCTACACACATCTTTTTTTCCGCAAAGTTACAATCCTTAAGATATTTATTGAATCAAACTATATTATTTATGGTTGCTTTCTCAGCAATAACCTTCAGCAATGACTTCTCAACAGTAGGCTACATAGCTGTTTTGATTGATAGTGGTGGAGTTCGCCATTACCTTCAAACATGAGGTCTTCGCAGGAAATAAGCCATGAAACAATCCAGTGTAATTTGATCTCATTATTGTCAGTGTCACAGTTTACTGTTTACTCTCTACTGCTGTGTCAGAGCTGCATTTACTTACTGCCAACACAAACTGCTGCTGCTTCCCATTAGGAGCATTCAACTGGGGAAACACAGGATGACATTTATTGTGAACCAAGTACAATAAACAGAATGCATATGTCACTGAGGTAAGCGCTCATCAAAAATTCATCTGCAAATCAAGACGATGAGGAGTGACAGGTGACAGGCTGCATATCTCCATCTTCTCAGCAAAGTAGCCAACATTTGGTCCTGCTGTTGTGTCGAAAACTACTCTCACCGTGTACGGCATGACATTAGATTGTAGTTACAAGTATTGTTAAGTTAGTTTTTAATAGCACGAGAGTTTGGCTGTACTGTAAACAGATATGCTAGCTGCCCCTCTGTCGTGTGTCTATAAAGCTCTCGTTAAAGTTCAGTCAGGAAGACGGTACTTTTCATGCTTAGGCTGTAATTTTTCTTTCTCACCCTGCCATTCACTCCTTGCACACATGCTCACTTGCTATCTCTTGCTGTCATTGTCCGGAGCTATTACCTGAGTCATCAGCTGTTCTACAGCTGATTCTCAATCATTCAAGTACACAGCAACACACCTTCTCCATTAGCCTATCATCTTAATGCTTCTTGTTTATGGTATATTTTTCTGCCTGCAGTTCGTTCATGCTACAGTCATGCGCAACCTCCATCTCCCCATCACCCCCTAGTGTTCTCAGATTCATCAGCCTCATCCGCCCATCAGCCATCAGTCTCAGAGCCATCAGCCACCACCACCAACAGCAGTGTCTTGACTCCATGGGGGGATTTATCTTGGTGCTGCTCAGATGTCCCTCGATCACAAAATATCTCGCTCTGGTGTCCAAGCGCCAAAGACTTCATCTGTTAATCTGTACACTCATATTCTGTATTAAATATTATCTTTACTTCATTCTTCTGTCACTCCTGATTGAAACAGCTACTCAAGGAGTATTGTGCTGTAGCTTATATGCTGCAATGGTATTAAACAGCATTTAAAGGTATGCATCATCCACAAAATGATCATTTAAATATCCATTACTCACCACATGCTATGTTGATTTTGTGAAGAAAACTGTATTTTCTTGCATGCCATAATGGTGAATGAATAATCCATAAACAGCAAATATTCTTGATGAATTAAAGTGAGAGGGGTCAGTGTTAAGATACAGCAAAACTATATGAAAAAAACATCTGTTTAAAAG